GTTGTCTGCTGAGGCACTGGAAGTAGCCCAAGAAAGGAGGAAAGCAAAAGGAAACAGAGATAAGGGGAGATATGCCCAGTTAAATGCGCAATTCCAGAGGTTAGCCAGAAGAGATAAGGAACTATTTTTAAATAAGCAATGCATGGAAGTGGAAGAAGACAACAGAATAGGAAGGACAAGAGACCTCTTCCAGAAAATTAGAAACATTGGAGGTAAATTTCAGGCAAAAATTGGTATGATAAGAAACAAAGATGGCAGGGACCTAACAGAAGCTGAAGAGATCAAGAGAAGGTGGCGAGACTATACAGAAGATCTGTATAGGAAGGATAATAATATTGAGGATAGTTATGACGGTGTGGTGAATGAATTAGAACCAGACATCCTGAGGAGTGAGGTTGAATGGGCCTTAAGAAGCATTGCTAACAACAAGGCAGCAGGAGACGACAGGATCCCAGCTGAACTGTTTAAAATCTTAAAAGATGATGCTGTCAAGGTGATGCATGCCATATGCCAGCAAATATGGAAAACACAAGAATGGCCATCAGACTGGAAAAAATCAACTTATATCCCCATGCTAAAAAAGGGGAAGGCTAAAGACTGCTCAAACTTTCATACAGTGGCACTTATTTCTCATGCCAGTGAGGTAATGCTCAGGATCCTGCAAGGAAGACTCAAGCAATACATGGAGCGAGAGTTGCCAGATGTTCAAGCTGGGATTAGAAAAGGCAGAGGAACGAGAGACCAGATTGCCAATATCCGCTGGATAATGGAGAAAGCAGGGAGTTTCAGAAAAACATCTACTTCTGCTTCATTGACTATTCTAAAGCCTTTGACTGGGTGGATCATAATAAATTGTGGCAAGTTCTTAGTGGGATGGGCATCCCAAGCCACCTTGTCTCTCTCCTGAGGAATCTGTACAAGGACCAAGTAGCAACAGTAAGAACTGACCATGGAACAACAGACTGGTTCAAGATTGGGAAAGGCGTACGGCAAGGCTGCATCCTCTCACCCAACCTTTTTAACTTGTATGCAGAACACATCATGCGATGTGCGGGGCTGGATGAATGCAAAGCTGGTGTGAAAATTGCTGGAAGAAACATTAACAACCTCAGATATGCAGATGACACCACTCTGATGGCCGAAAGCGAGGAGGAGCTGAGGAGCCTTCTAATCAAGGTGAAAGAAGAAAGCGCAAAAGCCGGGTTGCAGCTAAACGTCAAAAAAACCAAGATTATGGCAACAAGAATGATTGACAACTGGAAAATAGAGGGAGAAACCGTGGAGGCCGTGGCAGACTTTGTATTTCTAGGTGCAAAGATTACTGCAGATGCAGACTGTAGCCAGGAAATCAGAAGACGCTTACTTCTTGGGAGGAGAGCAATGTCCAGTCTCGATAAAATAGTGAAGAGTAGAGACATCAGACTGGCAACAAAGATCCGCCTAGTCAAAGCCATGGTATTCCCTGTAGTCACCTACGGATGTGAGAGCTGGACCTTAGGGAAGGCTGAGCGAAGGAAGATCGATGCTTTTGAGCTGTGGTGCTGGAGGAAAGTTCTGAGAGTGCCTTGGACTGCGAGAAGATCCAACCAGTCCATCCTCCAGGAAATAAAGCCCGACTGCTCACTGGAGGGAAAGATACTAGAGACAAAGTTGAAGTACTTTGGCCACATCATGAGAAGACAGGAAAGCTTGAGAAGACAATGATGCTGGGGAAATGGAAGGGAAAAGGAAGAGGGCCGACCAAGGCAAGATGGTGGATATTATCCTTGAAGTGACTGGCTTGACCTTGAAGGAGCTGGGGGTGGACAGCCAACAGGGAGCTCTGGCGTGGGCTGGTCCATGAGGTCACGAAGAGTCGGAGACGACTGAACGAATGAACAACAACAACAACAACTGGTAAATCCCCATACCATTAGTAAATCCCCATCCTCTATCCACACACCACTAATAGGGAAATATATTTTCTTCTTCCTCTTCTTCTGCACATTTGTTAAACCAGGGGTCCTCAAACTAAGTCCCAGGGGTCCAAGGTCATTTCCCTGGCCCTCGCTCAGGGTCAACCTAAGTCTGAAACGACTTGAAAACACACAACAACAACAACAACAACAACAACAACCCTATTTCATCAGCCAAAAGCAGGCCCACACTTCCTATTGAAATACTAATAATTTTATATTTGTTGAAATAGTTCTTCATTTAATTATTGTATTGTTTTTAAGGTTTTTTTGCACTACAAATAAGATATGTGCAGTGTGCATAGGAATTCATTCATGTGTGTGTGTTTTTTTTCAAATTATAATCCGGCCCTCCAACAGTTTGAGGGACTGTGACCTGGCCCTCTGTTTAAAAGGTTTGAGGACCCCTGGGTTAAACCATTGTTGGAGGCAAGTACAAAGCATCTTCTTTTTCTACGACTGTTGCTACTTTTCAGGACCACATCACAGATAGATCATTTTTCTCCTTCCTGGTAGAACCTTTTTCAGACCAGGGACCACTCTCCAACATTAGTACCAAAAGGGTTGCAAATCAATCAACTTTAGATTCGGTTTGATTATTTGGGGTGCTGATTCAGAAAATTGAATTGGATAGACCACATCAGCTCTAGTTTTTGATAAAGAACATAGGCCATCCAGTAGTCACCATCTGTTCGTCCACAGAAAACCATATTTAATAAGCCTATAAGTTTCGCGAGACCAGTTGCTCTCGTTGCAACGGTATAGTAATGGTGAGGCCGCAGACCATATTTTAGTTCTTGCGGACCACTGGTGGTCCACAGACCACAGGGGTTGCCAAAGGGAGGTTGGCAACCCCTGGTCTAAAGCATCTTTCTGGTCCGAGAATCTAAGAGAATCTGTATAGCCTGTTTCTAAAATAGAGTCTGAGTCCTGAACAGTCCCAGATCTGATCACGTGGTCCGCAGCCCCTCCCACAACATAAAGTTAAGGAAAACTGCATACCACAGGTTGGGAACCACTGCAGTAGAAGAAGCAAAGAAGAGAACCAACCTCCCTTTGCATTGTATTATTTGAGAGGAACGAGGAAATGTTTCCTTTTCTATTCCTGGGGCTCAGAATAAACTGTCCCCCTCTAGCATCCTTCCGTGATACGCAGAACATTCAAACAACATTGAACTCTTTCAGAGGACATTGCACTCAACCACCTTAAAATCTGGACCTGGAGTTATGAAAAATATTTGTTTAATGTTCTTATTCTTTATGAGGTTTAGGGAAAAGCTGGCTTTTATAAAGTAAATCTATCCAACTTCATGGAGCTGGAGACACATGGAGCAACCAGACTGAGGACAATGTGGGCCTCCAGCTATAACTTCCATCACCCCAACCACTGGCCATTTTGGTCAAGATTGATGGTACAGTAGAGTCTCGCTTATCCGACATTCCGCCTTATCCAACGCACCCCTTTTGCCCTTCAATTAAAGGAGCGCTCCCCAACTCTCTCCATTCCCAGTAAGTGAAAAAAGGCAAGACGAGGAGGATGAGGAGGGAGGAAAGGTGAAAAAGAGGCAGGAGCAGAAGCAGAAGTGTCCTCCTTCCTTCCCTCTGTGATTTCCATGCTCCTCTTCCGCATCCGGACACTTCCTGCTGGGCCACTCTAGCCCTGAGGTGTTGTCTTGCCTTAATTCAGTGTTTCTCAATCTGGGGGTCGGGACCCCTGAAGGGGTTACAAGGGGGTATCAGAGGGGCTGCCAAAGACCATCAGAAAGCAGCATTTTCTTTTGATCATGATGGTCTGTGTGGGAAGTCTGGCCCAATTCTATCTTCAGATTGTAGGTGAACTTTAAATCCCAGCAATTACAACTCCCAAATGTCAAGGTCTATTTTCCCCAAACTCCTCCAGTGTTCACATTTGGGCATATTCAGGCCAAGTTTGGTCCAGATCCATCGTGGTTTTGAGTTGACAGTGCTCTCGGGATGTAGGTGAACTACAACTCCCAAACTCAAGGTTAATGCCCACCAAACCCTTCCAGTATTTTCTGTTGGTCATGGGGGATCTGTGTGCCTAGTTTAGTTCAATTTCATCGTTGGTGGAGTTCTGAATGCTCTTTGATTGTAGGTGAACTATAAATCCCAGCAACTACAATTCCCAAATGAAAAACATCAATCCCTCCCTCCAATCCCACCAGGATTCAAATTTGGGCATATCGGGTATTTGTGCCCAATTTGGTCCAGTGAATGAAAATCCATCCTGCATATCAGATATTTACGTTACAGCTGGGGGTTGGACTGGACGGCCCATGAGGTCTCTTCCAACTCTTTGATTCTATGATTCTATGGGCACGGACTTCAGGTGGCAGAGTATTCCAGAGCGATGGTGCCACTGCTGTAAAGGCTCTGCGTCTGGTTGCTGTTAGACACAAGGTCTTGACATTGGGAATTTCCAACAAATCTTGGTCCTCAGAACAGAGAGATCTCTGGGGTTGGTAGGGAGTGAGGCGGTCCCTCAGGTACATCGGCCCCAGACCATGCAAGGCCTTAAAGGTGAGTACCATCACTTTGAAAGTGATCTGGTGCTCAATTGGTAACCAATGCAGCTGTAGTAAGATTTCAGAATTCCCGCAAGAAGCTGAGCAGCTGCATTTTGTACCAACTTGAGCTTCCGGATCACCGACAGAGGAAGGCCAACTTATTTGTGATGCAGACGGGGTCGAGAGCAGGGCCTTCTCAGTGGTGGCCCCTCGGCTATGGAACACCCTTCCCCAGACGATCTTAACGTCTTAGATGGTTCATAAGGGGAGATGTGTTTGGACAAGGAAGTTGGGCCAAAACCATTGGATGGGTAACAATAGGAGACTTGTATTATCTGACATTTTTGTTTATCCAACGTTCTGCTGACCCATTTATGTTGGATAAGCGAGACTCTACTGTAGTTGGGAATCTAGTGGCAACTAGAAGGCTACATGATGCCTGGCCCTGACTGCAAGGGGGGGAAAAACAGTGGTTATGGAGGACAGAGACGCAGATGTGTAAGAAATAACACAACCATTCTGGAAAACTTCACTATTTTAGATGCCCCCTCCTCCCCCAAGACGTCCCACCCCAACCCCCCAAAATGATGAGAGGTAGAAGCTTGTTTTCTAAAATATTTTCAACCATGATACAAACATCGATGCCATACATCACATTTCATGCTTCAAACCATGTCACAAAAACACAAACCACAAAACAATTCCAGTCATAATGGGAGTCCGTTTCATTGCACTAGGTTCTGAGCTAAGCCCAGCCCTCCATTGTTGTCCTCTCTTATCCGAGGACCGTCCACTCCACTTCACATCGCTTTCAAACTCCACAGAGAAGACAAAGAACACATCTTTCCGTAAAGGCGGCAAGGGTTTACCCACCTCTTCACAACATTCCCAGGATCCGTTTGGGAGAAACGTGAGACAAACCCCGGCAGTGTCAAACCGATTCTCGTGTTTTGTTTTTTTCCTTCTGTGATGTGCAACCGTCACTTCAAATGTTCCAAAATCTCCGAGAACTTCTTCACAGATGAAAACCAAACTATTATACGAGCAGATTGCTTACAACACTTCCATTTGTACATAAATTAAAAAAAACTTTAAAAAAACTTATATCACATTTATTATTACCCATGGAAAAAATACAATTCACACAGGAAAGAAAAGCCATTAGAATGTAAACAATTCTTTTTAAGAGGGCAGAAGAACCACAACAGAAGTGAGATCTCACTGGCGAGCGGGGCAGGAATGGCTCAGCGCGCCCCTTCCGTGCTTTGGGAAGCTTCCACGGAGGTCTCCGGTAGCTTTTTCCAGGCGTGCAAGCGACACGGACAACGGTTAGGAATAAACGACTATTGAAAACACACCAAGCTATATCTTTTGATTACTCGATTCCAAATCTCCCAAGGCAAACCGTTCAAACCGGATGACACCTTTGCTACTGTTAATGCTGAAGAAGAAGGATGGGGAGGAGGAAGAGGAGGAGGAAAGGAATGGTGGGGGACGACAGGAAATGGAAACAAGTTACATTGGCAGTCCTTGTACGAGAAGCAACTGGCGAGCGTTTTCGCTCTGGATTCACAGCACAATAAAAAGCCAGGCACGTCTAGTCTCCTTCAGGGAGGAGTTTAGATGATTTTACCCGTGACATTCAGCTCAATCTGTTCAGTTATGAAACAGGAAGTCTCATAAGCCAAGGAGATAAGTTGCCTTGTGGGCAAAACAAGGCCTGGGGGGCTGGGTGCGGTCCCTTGGGCTCTTTTCTCAGGCCCTTCTCTCTCTCACCATCCTAGCCTTCTTTCCTTCTCTCTTTCCTTCTTCCCTTCCTTCCTTACCTTCCCTCTTTCCTTCCTCCTTCTCTACCTTTTTCCCTCCTTCCTTCCCTTTTGTCTTTCTTTCCCTCTCTCTTTCCTCCCTCTCCTCCCTTCCTTCCCCTCCCTCCCTCTCACCATTCCCTTCCACCCTTTCATCTTTCTCTTCCTTCCCTCTTTTCCTCTTTCTCCTTCCTCCCTTCCCTTTTGTCTTTCTTTCCCTCTCTCTTTCCTCCCTCTCTTCCCTCCCTCCCTCTCACCATTCCCTTCCACCCTTTCGTCTTTCTCTTCCTTCCCTCTTTCCCTCTTTCTCCTTCCTTCCTTTCTTTCTTCCTTCCTTCCTTCCTTCCCTTTTGTCTTTCCTTCCTTCTCTCTTTCCTCCCTCCCTCCTTTGTTCCCTTCCACCCTTTCATCCTTCTTCCCTCTTTATTTTCCTCCTTCTTTTCTGTCTTCCCTTCCTTCCCTCTTTCCTCCCTCCTTCCTTCTCTTTTTCTCCTTTTGTCTTCCCTTTTGTCTTTCCTTTCTTCTCTCTTTCCTCCTTCCCTCCTCCCTTCCCTTCCCCCCTTTCATCCTTCCCCCTTTCCTCCTTCTTCCCTCTTTATTTTTCTCCTTTTCTTCCTTCTCTTTTGTCTTCCCTTCCTTCCTTCCTTCCTTCTTTCCTCCCTCCCATTCCCTTCCATCTTTCCCTTCCTCCCCTTTTTCCTCCTCCTTCGTTCCCTTCCACCCTTTCATCCTTCCTTCCGTCCCCCTTTCCCCTTCTTCCCTCTTTATTTTTCTCCTTTTCTTCCTTTTTGTCTTCCCGTCCTTCCTTCTCTCTTTCCTCCTCCTTCCCTTCCTCCCTCTCTCCATTCCTTTCCACCCTTTCTCATTCCTTTCTCTCCCTCTTCCTTCCTTCCCTTCTCTTCCTCCTTCCTTCCTCTTTCCTCCCTCCCTCCTTCTCTTTTCTCTCCTTTCCTTCCTTCCTTTCCTCCCTTTCCCTTTTGTTTTTCCTTCCTTCTCTCTTCCTCCCTCCCTCCTTCTTCTCTCCCCCTTTCCTTCCTTACCTCCCTCTTTCTCCCTCACTCCTTCCCTCCTACCCTTTTGTCTTTCCTCCCTCCCTCTTTCTCTTCCTCTCTCTTTCTCTTTCCTTCCTTCCCTTTTGGCTTTTCTTCCCTTGCTTCCCTCCTTCCATTCCTTTCCACCCTTCCTTCCATCATTCACTTCTTCCCTCCCTTCCTTCCCTTTTTCCTTCCTCCTTTCCTCCTGGGGGATGTTTAGCTGGGAGAAGAGAAGGGAACACGAGAAACATGTTTCCAGATTTCAAAGGGTGTCCCACTGAGGAGGAAGAGGAGGGGGAGAACTGACTTTCTGCTGCTTTAGAGACCAGGGCACAAGGGAGCAATGGGTTCACATTGCAGGAAAAGAGATTGGACTGAAAAGATTAGGGAGAACTTTCCGATAGAAAGAACTGTGTATTGTGTATTGTTGTGATTATTGCCTGTATTGTTGTGTTTGGGCTCAGCCTCATGTAAGCCGCACCGAGTCCCTTGGGGAGATGGTAGCGGGGTACAAATAAAGTGTTATTATTATTATTATTATTATTATTATTATTATTATTATTATTATTATTATTATTATACTGTTGGAGAGTGGCCTAGGCTGCCTCGGAGTGTGGAGGAGTCTCCTTCTCTGAAGGCTTTTCCACAGAGGCTGTCTTGCGGGAGTGCTTTGATTGTGCCTTCTTGCATGGCAGGGGGTTGGACTGGATGACCCTTGGGAGTCTCTTCTATATCAGGAGGAGGCAAGTCGGGGTCTCACGGATATACTTTTTCTCTCCCGTTCACCATATCAACATGACCCTTTTGGGATCCAAATGTTTCCCCTCTTTCCTGGCGAAAGAGAAGAGGAAGGGGAGGAAAGGGCAGTGAGGGGACTTGGGGAGACCCCTCCCTCCCGGCCCCCAATTTAGAACTACTGATGTAGGTGAACTACAACTCCCAAACATAAGGTCAGTGCCCACCAAACTCTCCCAGTATTTTCTGTTGGTCAAGGGAGTTCTGTGTGCCAAGTTTGGTTCAATTCCATCGTTGGTGGAGTTCAGAATGCTCTTTGATTGTAGGTGTACTATAAATCCCAGCAACTACAACTCCCAAATGACAAAATCAACCTCTCCCCCAAATTTGGACATATTGGGTGCCAAATTTGGTCCAGCGAATGGAAATACATCCTGCATATCAGATATTTACATTGCGATTCATAACAATAGCAAAACTTCTGAAAATAATGTTATGATTGGGGGTCACCACATTAAGAGGTCACGGCATTAGGAAGGTGGAGAAACACTGCCCTAAAGCTTCTAATCCACGTGTGTAACAATCCCAACGTTGTTGTAACTCAAGCAGCGAGATCACCCTTCAATGCTCTTTGCTGGATAGCTCAAATGCACAGATGACACACCACTGACATATACACCCCTATAGTTTAAAAATCCCATAGAAAAGACAAGCACGCACAATGCTGGCTGGTTTTTTTTTCGTTTGTTTGTTTTTTGCTTACACCTTGCTTATGAGGCTAGTGGTAAAAGAGTTCAGAAAGACAAACCACCCGCGAAGAGACAGGATCACAAGTGCTGCAGCCGGCTGAACACACTTCAGAAGTCGAGGAGTTAATCGGGCTCAGAAGGAGGGTTAGTAGCGACACAGTTCTTGCAGACAGGAATGGTTATTTCAAGTTAGCAGCCGCACCAAGAGAAGAGGCGGGAGAAAGGAATTCATAGAAGCGGTCAGGTGCGCCCAAGGGCTAAACACGGCCAGGATGTGTGTGTGTGTGTGAGTGAGAGAGCGCAAGTGTGTGCAGAGTGGACGTCCAAGAGGCTGTGTGGGTTTAGGACACAAGAGAGCATGCAAGGTAGGGCCCCGCTATTGCGTCAGGAGCTACAACCTATAAGACAGAAGGTGGAAAGCAAACAAAAAGAAGGAAGGACATACAAGAGAACACAAAGTTAGTCCGCCGTTCTAGTTCAAAAAACAGCCATAGAGCAAGGGAAACGCTACAATCGTGGCTCCCTCTCTTCCTTCCTTTATTTTCCTTCTTTCTTTCTTTCTCTCTCTCTCTCACTTTCTCTTTCCTTCCTTCTTTCTCCTTCCTTCCTTCATATATCTTTTCTTCTTTTTCCTTCCTTCTTTTTATTTCCTTTTCCTTCCTTCTTTCTCTTTCTTTCCTTCCTTCTTTCTTTCACTCCTTCTTTCTCTTTCCTTCCTTTCTTCTTTCTCTTTCTTTCTTTTCATCCTTCCTTCTTTCTCTATCCTTCCTTCTTTCTCTCTCTTTCCTTTCTGTCTTTATCTCTCACACTTTCTCTCTTTCCTTCCCTCCTTCCTCCCTCCCTCCCTCCCTTCCTATATCTTTCCTTCTTTTTCCTTCCTTCTTTTTTCATTTCCTTTTCCTTATTTCTTTCTCTTTGCTTTCTTTCCTTCCTTCTTTCACTCCTTCTTTCTCTTTCTTTCGTTTCATCCTTCCTTCTTTCTTTCTCCTTCCTTCCTTCCTTCTTGCCTTCTTTCCTTCTTTCTTTCAATCCTTCTTTCTCTTTCCTTCCTTTTTTCTCTTTCTTTCCTTCCTTCCTATATCTTTCCTTTTTTCCTTTCCTTTCCTTCTTTTCTTCCTTCCTTCTTTTTTCCTTCCTTCCTATATCTTTCCTTCTTTTTCTTCTAATTATTTCCTTTTCCTTCTTTCTTTCTCTTTCTTTCTTTCCTTCCTTCTTTCTTTCACTCCTTCTTTCTCTTTCCTTCCTTTCTTCTTTCCCTTCCTTTCTTTTCATCCTTTCTTCTTTCTTTCCTTCTTTCCTATATCTTTCCTTCTTTTTCTTTCCTTCCTTCCTTTCTTCTTTTTCCTTCCTTCCTATATCTTTCCTTCTTTTTATTTCCTTCCTTCCTTCCTTCCTTCCTTCCTTCCTTCCTTCCTTCCTTCTTTCTCTTCCCTTTCTGTCTTTATCTCTCACACTTTCTCTCCTTCCTCCCTTCCTCTTTCCTTCTTTTTTCATTTCCTTTTCCTTCTTTCTTTCTCCTTCCTTCTTTCTCTTTCTTTCCTTCCTTCTTTCACTCCTTCTTTCTCTTTCCTTCCTTTTTTCTTTCTCTTTCTTTCTTTTCATCCTTACTTCTTTCTCTTTCTTTCCTTCTTTTTATTTTCTTCCTTTCTTCTCTTTCCTTCCTTCCTATATCTTTCCTTCTTTTTATTTCCTTCGTTCCTTTCTTCCTTCTTCTTCTTCCTTCCTTTTCCTTCCTTTTCTTTCTAATACCATAATAAAATGTGGAGTCTTTAGGATGTTACAAGATCCTAGTCTTGCTTTTTTTCTGGAAGACAAAGACAAGGCAAGACCACCTTCCTCGTTGCCAAAGTCCTCCAAAAATTACCATCCCAGGATTCTGGGGAAGTGATGTGTTCCTTCCCCAGCAGCCTGTTGCCTAAGGAGGGAAAGGGACAAAAGGGTCTGCAGAGAAACAAGACAGGGATGAGTGGATCTCATTTTGGTTTTGGCCCAGTCCAATACCAGACTGTGTCCTCCAACTACTCATCCCAAAGGAACGTGACTTCAGAAGGAACAAGAGTTGGAACTACACATGCTTTTGGAGAACTTAAATCAATGGGATATATTAATATATATAAATGGATGTATTTTTACGTCTAACATTTGAGTGAGCACCAATGTTCTATGTCTATAATAAAAAGCAATTGGCAGAAACCAATATACGGGCCAATACGTACTCGGCTGATTTCCAGAAGTGTCCTGGATGAGAGAGCCTCCGGTTGAGCTTTGGCAACTTTTCCAGCATGTCCATCAGAAGCGTGAAGCTGGGGCGCTCGTTGACATCAAAAGACCAACATGCGGAGAGGATTTCCTTAAAAAGTAAAATCACATGTGAGTTAGGGCTGTGTTTACAAGGTCTGTTTTGATGATGGACATTGCTAAGGCAGTCGCAGTTGTATACAGCTCTGCATGGAAAACTATGGATCGACTTACGCCGACTTCTTTTCCCAGGCTGCTTGAAGACAGGACCTGCTTCATTCCTTCACCGCTCCCGATCTGCCAGATCAGGGCCTCTGCTGGCTGGCTCTTATATGGCCACTCTCTAGCTTGGAGCTCGTACCACACAGTCCTGAGAAACCCAAGGAATTTAAACATTAGTTTCTGCGACACTGAGGAACCACTAAAACCTCTACCAATGTAAAAGAGTCATTACATTCTATTCCCCATCCCTTTCCTTTCCTTTGAAGAAGCCCATAACACAAAACAATACAAAAAGTCACATGGACACAGATTTTACTTCCCATTTTACTTTTTCTCACACAAACAATCCTATGTGGCAGCTAAAGATTTCCTAGGCCCCTTTTCATAATATTATTTACATGATTTTAATGATACTATGAACCACTGCCTCCTCCTGAGAAAAATGTATAATATCACAAAGGACTACCATCTCACCTGTCTCATAGGAAACCTGCTACAAAACAGGAGCTTTTTTGTTGAGTTCCAGGGCCAGAGAAGCAGATGGCGGAAACAGAAGAACGGCCTGCCTCAGGGGAGCGTGCTTGCTCCATCCATGTTCACACATCTACACAAATGACCAGCCACTGCCAGAAGGGACAGAGAGTTTCATCTATGCTGATGATCGTGCCATTACCACTCAAGCAGGGAGCTTTGAGATGGTTGAAAAGAAGCTCTCCGAAGCTCTAGGTGCTCTTACTGCCTATTACAGGGAAAACCAACTGATCCCTAATCCATCTAAAACACAGACATGCGCCTTTCACCTTAAGAACAGACAAGCATCCCGAGCTCTGAGGATTACCTGGGAAGGAATCCCACTGGAGCATTGCAGCGCACCCAAATACCTGGGAGTCACTTTGGACCGTGCCCTGACCTACAAGAAGCACTGCCTAAACATCAAGCAAAAAGTGGGCACCAGAAACAACATCATACGAAAGCTCACTGGCACAACCTGGGGATCCCAACCAGACATAGTGAAGACATCTGCCCTTGCGCTATGCTACTCTGCTGCTGAGTACGCATGCCCAGTGTGGAACACATCTCACCACACTAAAACAGTAGATGTGGCTCTTAATGAGACATGCCGCATTATCACAGGGTGTCTGCACCCCACACCACTGGAGAAATTACACTGCTTAGCGGGTATTGCACCATCTGACATCCGCCGGGAAATGGCAGCCAATAGTGAAAGGACCAAGGCAGAGACATCTCCTGCTCATCCCCTGTTTGGATATCAGCCAGCACGTCAAGGACTTAAATCCAGACATAGTTTTCTAAGATCTACAGAGACACTCGCTGGAACATCTCAGCAAGCGAGAGTCCAAAAGTGGCAGGCTCAAACCCAGAACCTCAACCAATGGCTGATACCAGATGAGAGACTCCCCCCTGGGCACACAGAGGACTGGGCGACTTGGAAGGCGCTGAACAGACTGCGCTCTGGCACCACGAGATGCAGAGCCAATCTTAAGAAATGGGGCTACAGGGTGGAATCCACGACATGCGAGTGTGGAGAAGAGCAAACCACTGACCACCTGCTGCAATGCAACCTGAGCCCTGCCACAAGACTGGGCGACTTGGAAGGCGCTGAACAGACTGCGCTCTGGCACCACGTGATGCAGAGCCTTCAGAAATGGGGCTACAAAGTGGAATCCTCAACATGTGAGTGCGGAGAGGAGCAAACCACTGATCACCTGCTGCAATGCAACCTGAGGCCAGCCACATGCACAATGGAGGAGCTTCTTGCAGCAACACCAGAAGCACTCCAAGTGGCCAGATACTGGTCAAAGGACATTTAATCAACTACCAAATTCACACATTTTGTACTTTCTCTGTTTGTTTGCTTTGTTCTGTTAGAAATGTAATATAATTGACTGGCTGCCCTGACACGAGAAATAAATAACTGATCTAGAAGGCCACACACTGTAAGGTTAGAGGCTCCTCTGTGGACTGTCTCTCCTTCTCTTACCCAAAAGCATAGACATCAGCAGCTTTAGAGAAAGGAAGCTTATCTTCATCCTTCCCAGGAGCCATTTCACGCACAATCTCTGGAGACAGGTAGCAGAGCCAATCGTGTGGCAGCTTCAGTTCGTTCTCACGCCTAAAAGAAGAAAAAGATGGAGACTGCAGGAGCCATCCTTCCATGCTTATGCTAGATCAGAGTACAGAGTAAGTCAATACAATTAGAATCATAGAGTTGGGAGAGACCTCGTGGGCTATCCAGTCCAACCCTCTTCCAAGAAGCAGGAAGAAGCGGTTACTGGGAACTGATCTGCTGAAACAACAAATGGGGCGTACACAAGCCTAACACCTTGGAGACAGCATTCCAAAGAGGAAAAAGATGACTTAATATGGAGTTGCCACGTCCAACAACTTGGCCTTCTATTTGCAAGGCAATCAACATATTTCCCAATACAAAGACAAGCTAAATACAGTTTCTTGCCCATGAGGGACTCCATAACTCATCATCAGTTTACCAGAGCAGATCTTGGACCTGGCGGGGAGAAGATGTCAATACTCACCTTCCCTCCTGAACAACACCAGAAATTCCAAACAGGCCAAAGTCGGTGATCACCACTTTGCCGTTTTCATAGAAAATGTTCTTGGATTTGAGATCTTTGTGAACAATCCCTTTTGCGTGAAGGTACCCCATGCCCTGAGAAAACACAAAAGCAGAGGTGAGAAGGAATGTATAGAATCATCGAATCCTAGAGTTGGAAATGACCTCATGGGCCATCCAGTCCAACCTCATTTTGCCAAGAAGCAGGAAAATTGCATTCAAAGCACTCCCGACAGATGGCCAACCAGCCTCTGTTTCAAAGCCTCCAAAGAAGGAGCCTCCACCACACTCCAGGGCAGAGAGTTCCACTGCTGAACAGCTTTCACAGTCACGAAGTTCTTCTTAATTTTCAGATGGAATCTCCTTTCATAGAATCATAGAATCAAAGACTTGGAAGATCCAGTCCAACCCCCTGCCAAGAAGCAGGAATATTGCATTCAAATCACCCCTGACAGATGGCCATCCAGCCTCTGTTTAAAAGCTTCCAAAGAAGGAGCCTCCACCACACTCCGGGGCAGAGAGTTCCACTGCTGAACGGCTCTCACAGTCAGGAAGTTCTTCCTCATGTTCAGATGGAATCTCCTTTCTTGTAGTTTGAAGCCATTGTTCCGCTTCCTAGTCTCCAGGGCAGCAGAAAACAAGCTTGCTCCCTCCTCCCTATGACTTCCTCTCACATATTTATACATGGCTATCATGTCTCCTCTCAGCCTTCTCTTCTTCAGGCTAAACATGCCCAGCTCCTTAAGCCGCTCCTCATAGGGCTTGTTCTCCAGACCCTTGATCATTTTAGTCGCCCTCCTCTGGACACATTCCAGCTTGTCAATATCTCTCTTGAATTGCGGTGCCCAGAATTGGACACAATATTCCAGGTGTGGTCTAACCAAAGCAGAATAGAGAGGTAGCATTACTTCCCTAGATCTAGACACTATGCTCCTATTGATGCAGGCCAAAATCCCATTGGCTTTTTTTGCCACCACATCACATTGTTGGCTCATGTTTAACTTGTTGTCCACGAGGACTCCAAGATCTTTTTCACATGTACTGCTCTCGAGCCAGGCATTGCCCCCCATTCTGTATCTTTGCATTTGGTTTTTCCTGCCAAAGTGTCACTGTTAAACTTCATTAATGTTCAGGTGGAATCTCCTTTATTGTAGTTTGTAACTTTTGTTCCATAATATTACGGTCAATGACCAGCACCAAAAAATGAACAAATGACAGAACAGGAACATACGCATTTAGGTATTAAGAAACAACAACAACAACAACATTTATTATGGTCCATAGATCCATCAGTAAAAGCAACAGTTATTATAAATTATCCCATCTCAGGAGAAGTCCATTGTACAAGATACGTCTACATGGTTTCAAGTAATACCCCTATCAGAGGTTCATGCGTTCTCAGCCTTGTTACCACCGCGAGGAATTTGACCAGGGTTGAATGAAAAGTAATGCCTCCACCTTCATAACTCCTCAACAGATGGCAATACTGGTATGCGGCAGGTACTGGCTCGTTCAGTAGACTCTCCTCTACAGTACCATTTTGGCAGGAAACCTTAGCATTGAATGGTTGTGTTATTAAAGTGTGACATATGGAACCCTGTGCAGACAGTCAGTCAGTGAGACTTAAGCAACATGCAGTCATTGAATTCTTGACAGCAGAAGGTGTCACCCCAAAGAAGATTCATCAGAGAATGCAAGCTGTTTATGGTGATTGTTTTGATATGAGTACTGTCATCGTTGGGTGAGAAATTTTAAAGATGTTGAGGTGGAAACATCTGACTTGCATGACAAACAAAGAGTTGGACGTCCTGTGACAGCAACCACCGAGTTTCAAAAGCAAAACGTTGAAAGATTGATTCAGGACGATCGTTGTATCACTCAGAGAGAAATTTCAAGCATAATTGGCATTTCACAAGAACGTGTGGGTCACATAGAATCATAGAATCAAAGAGTTGGAAGAGACCTCATGGGCCATCCAGTCCATCCCCCTGCCAAGAATCAGGAATATTGCATTCAAATCACCCCTGACAGATGGCCATCCAGCCTCTGTTTAAAAGCTTCCACAGAAGGAGCCTCCACCACACTCCAGGGCAGAGAGTTCCATGACTGCTTTGCTTGACTATCGGAAGATCTGTGCATGATGGGTACCCAGGATGCTGACGCCTGAAATGAAAGCGCACAGACTTGAAACTTCAGAGACTGGATCTCACAACAGTACGATATCCTCCATACAGTCTAGTTTTAACACCGTCTGACTCCCATCTATTCCCAATAATGAAAGAAGATCTGCGGGGACATCATTATGCTTTTGATGAAGATGTTGAGAGAACTGTGAGACGCTGGTTGTGGAAACAGAGTGTCGACTTCTTCTGTGACGTCTTCAGAAAACTTGTTCATCATTGGCCGAAATGTATCCAATTGTCTGGTGATTATGTGGAAAAGTGAATAGTGGTCGTTAAAGAGCACATTCTAAGGATTATTTCTGTGTTTGATTTATTAAAATATTCCCATCCAAACCCAAGTAATGAAGGTGGAGGCATTACTTTTCATTCAACCCTCGTACCCTGTGGAACTTGCCCTATAAAAAATATCTACCAATCCTCTGCATATTGGGGTGGGGGGGAGGGTGACTGGTCATTTCTTACCTTAATAATCTCCTGGGCTATCTGCCTGGTCTTGTTAATATCCAGAGATATTTTGGGGTCTCTTACGAATGAATGAAGTGTCCTTCCTTTGCAGAAACTAAGGCAGAGGGACAGAAATAAGTGTCAAGAAACTAACACGAGCTGTAACTACGAAAATATAACATGGCTTCATTATTTACAAATCAAAGATTACTATAAACAATTTAAAAAAAAAGGATTTGACTGGGAAGAAAATATATGGGAAAAAAAATTTGAAGAGGGAAAGGAAAATAGTTACAATGATCTATAATAAATTACTATCATGGACAACAGAAAAAGAACAGGTCAAGTCTTGTATGATTAAGTGGGCGGAAAATTTAAGGAGACCAATCCAATTCAGGGAGTGGAAACAAATGTGGAACAAAAAGTTAAAAAGATATTTATGCTATGGATTTAAAAGAGAACTGGTTTAAAATGTTCCAGAGATGGTACACCACTCCAAAAAAAAATTAAGCCATATGTATAAAAATACATTGGATAAGTTGGAAATGTTGTGAAAAAGTAGGTACATTCTATCATATGTGGTGGACATGCAAGGAAACAACCAAATATTGGTCTTTAATCCACGAGGAAACACAAAAAAAATTAAACAAGAAGTTCAAGAAAAAACTAGAATACTATTTGTTGGGCTTTAATGACTTGGAATTACAATTGAATGAAAATGAAGATAAACTATTGACAATGTCAATGTCAAGGACCAAGGCAGTGACATCTCCAGCTCATCCCTTGTTTGGGTATCAGCCAGCACGTCAACGAGTTAAATCAAGAAATAGTTTTCTAAGATCTACAGAGACACTCGCTGGAACACCTCAGCAAGTGAGAGTCCAAATTGGCAGGCTCAATCCCAGAACCTCAACCAATGGCTGATACCAAATGAGACTCCCCCCTGGGCACACAGAAGACTGGGCGACTTGGAAGGCGCTGAACAGACTGCGCTCTGGCACCATGAGATGCAGAGCCAACCTTCAGAAATGGGGCTACAAAGTGGAATCCACGACATGCGAGTGTGGAGAAGAGCAAACCACTCACCACCTGCTGCAATGCAACCTGAGCCCTGCCACATGCACAATGGAGGACCTTCTTGCAGCAACACCAGAGGCACTCCAAGTGGCCAGATACTGGTCAAAGGACATTTAACCAACTACCAAGTTTGCAAAATTTGTCTTTTTTTATCTGTTTGTTTGTTTTGTTCTGTTAGAAATGTAATACAATGGTATGGTTGCTGATGACACGATAAATAAATAAATAAATAAAATCAGTTCTAGATTATTAAATATGATTTTCTGTGGGCGAGAAGATGGCAATTACCGGATGGCAAATGTTCTGTATCAGAAACTAGAGCTGATGTGGTCTATCCAATGCAATTTTCTGAATCAGCACCACAAATAACCAAACCAAATCTAAAGCTGACCAAAAGCTGATTCGTAACCCTTTTGGTACAAATGTTGGAGAGTGGTCCCTGGTAAAAAAAAAAAAAGGGTGGAAACCACTGCATTAAAAAAATCAGAACAATCTTCTGTATTTTCTAGGTAGATGCAAGAGGCTTGGGGTGACAAATACCCTGGGACCCTCTACAGTGCTGTAACCCAGAGATTTCGATCTTTACCTTGTAATAATTGCTAGGTGCGGGGGGTTCATGCAAGCCCCCATGAAGAGCACCACATTCTCATGTCTGGTTTGTCGGTAATTCATCACCTCCTTCTTGAAAAGCTTCAGGTGGTCCTGATTGTTCCCATCAATTTCCAACAATCGGATGGCCACTTCTCCGTGCCACCTGCCCCGGTAAACTTTGCCCCAGCGTCCTTGGCCAATTGGGTCCCCTAGTTCGATCTGCTCAAAGGGGATGTCCCACTCCTGCAGGTAGACGCTCGTCTGGCTGCCTTTGCGGCAAATCATCCCTCGCCAGCGACTCCGCCGGCTGGGCAGGTCATCGATCTCGTCATCGTCATCTTCTGCTTCCGACTTGTTTGGCTCTTGGTCTTCCGCATGCTGAGAAGGAAAAGGGCACCAGTAACTGGGATGGGAGCACCTCAGATTGCATCCTCCCCAACCTTACAGCATCAGTACCCTCATTTCATCACAGTCCCTCATTCTTCGTGCCACTGTTTGAACACTGTTCCCACCCTAAATATCTCAGCGTCACCCTAGACCAAAGATAACCAGCTGAAGCCTAACCCTGCCAAGACACAAGTGTGTGCTTTCCAGCTATGTAACCATGGAGACAACAGGAAATTGAAAGTTACCTAGGCAAAGAACTCAAACACTGTTTCCATCCTAAATATCTTGGGGTCACCTTAGATCAAACACTAACATTAAGGATGAAATGGCAGGGAGACGGTTTGAGGAAAAGAGGCAAAAGAGAGTCCCTGAGGTCTGTAAAAGCACGGTTTATTCTCATTTGGCGCCAACCGGATATGAACCCTGTTAGTAGTCCAGCAAACAGGGTGCTGAACAAAAGAATTGCCTTGGTTTATATACCCTTTAAAATAATATGCATGCATCATACAAGCATCACAATGTGCGTCACAAAATTCCACTTTTGCATTGACTCCAATGGCATATTTTAACTTCAACACCTTCAATCTTCCATTAAGCACCTTTATCTAAAGAGCTGCTCATTAAGAGGACCATAGCGCCAGAGTGTCTACTAGGCTACTGATAGCCAGAGCTTCCATCCATCTTGAGCTAAGTCCTGAAGAAGCCTTTTGATAGCCAGGCTCATTAATCTTACAATAACCTCTGCTTGGTACCAATCATATTTGCCAGATGCCTGAGACATTCATAGAATCATAAAATCATAGAGTTGGAAGAGACCTCATGGGCCATCCAGTCCAACCCCATTCTGCCAAGAAGCAGGAACATTGCATTCAAAGCACCCCTGACAGATGGCCATCCAGCCTCTGTTTAAAAGCTTCCAAAGAAGGAGCCTCCACCACACTCCGAGGCAGAGAGTTCCACTGCTGAACGGCTCTCACAATCAGGAAGTTCTTCCTAATGTTCAGATGGAATCTTCTTTCCATATACCTCTTTCTGGCCTCTCTCTGGCCTCTTCGGGGCAACTTAATTTGCAGCTTTTAAGAAGCCAAGTGAAGTGAAGTTCATGCATACATACATCCTGTATATATTTTCCAATTCCTATTTCTAATATGGTTACATCCAATATATATTTTCCAATATGTGTATCATGTATTTTTATCATGCCTTCATCAAGGAAACACTGTGTGAACACCAAGCACAAAGGCGCTGCACGCAATAACTTTCCGCTGAATCTTACTAATAGTGCATAGGGTGCAGACCCAAAATTAATAAGAACATCAGCCCTAGCCTTGTCTTACTCATCTGCTGAGTAAGACAAGGCCACGGCTGATGTTTGGCACAGGTCTGCCCAGAGGAGGCCCTAAGTAATTTTCAACGGTAAGCAAACAGTATTTTGGCACCCCCCCCCCCCCCCCCCCCCCCCCCCCGCAACCAATCACTGATATATATTTTCTGTTCGTTGTGGGAGTTCTGTGTGCCATATTTGGTTCAGTTCCATCATTGGTGGAGTTCAGAATGCTCTTTGATTGTAGGTGAACTATACATCCCAGTAACTACAACTCACATATGTCAAGGTCTATTTTCCCCCAAGAACGCCTCAAGAGTGCCCCTGGACAAAATCAACTATATTGCAAATGCTTACTTTTGGGTTGAGCCACCCCTGCTCTCTCTCTCTCTCTCTCTCTCTCTCTCTCTCTATCTATCTATCTATCTATCTATCTCTCTATCTCTCTATCTATCTATCTATCTATCTATCTATCTATCTATCTATCTATCTATCTATGGCTGGATGGCTCTTTGTCAGGAGGACTTTGATTATGTTGGCCCAGTCTGTTGATCTAGAAAATAAAGTAATGAGAAAGTGTTGGTTTCTAATGTATATAATTTCTTTATGCTTGTGGGTAAACAGTATTTCTTGCTGTTTCTTTGTCAGTGTTGATGTGGAGAGTGTCGGGTTTGCCCACCCTGGAACATGCAACATATCATTATCCTTCTTTAAGGGTCCCTTTCAAATCTATGATACTATATCTCTCTGTGTGTGAATCATATCTATTTATCTATATCTATGGCTGGATGGCTCTTTGTCAGGAGGACTTTGATTACGTTTTCTTGCCCTGATGAAGGAGTTGGATTGGATGGCCTTAAGTATTTTCTGTTGGTCATGAGGGTTCTGTGTGGGAAGTTTGCCCCGATTCTGTCGTTCGTGGGCTTCAGAATGCTCTTTGATTGTAGGTGAACTGTGAATCCCAGTGACTACAACTCCCAAATGTCTATTTCCCCAAACTCCATCTGTGTTCATATTTGGGCGTATTCGGTGCTTGTGCCAAGTTTGGTCCAGATCCATCATTGTTTGAGTTCACAGTGCTCTCTGGATGTAGGTGAACTACAACTCTCAAACTCAGGGTCAATGCTCACCAAAACCTTCCAGTTTTTTCTGTTGGTCATGGGAGCCCTGTGTGCTACGTTTGGCCCAATTCCATCATTGGTGGAGTTCAGAATGCTCTTTGATTGTAGGTAAACTATCAATCCCAGCAACGACAATTCCCAAATGACAAAATTATTTTTTTTAGTGGAGGACATACATTAGGTTGTTTGGTGTCTTGTGTCCAAATTTGGTGTCAATTCCCCCAGTGGTTTTTGTGTTCTGATGGTATCACAAACGAACATTACATTTTTATTTATATAGATTGTAGATGCATACATGTGCCCTTCTTCCCAAAACAAAACAACAACAAAACTTTATTAATATACCGCTCTATCTCCCCGAGGGGACTCAGAGCATTTTCCAAGTAACACCATCAATACATACAACGTAAACAACATAAACATAAAATAAAAGAGGGAGATGTTTACCTCTTCTGCATCACATTCCTCAATGCCATCTGCCTCTAGATGTTCAGCAGCACTATCCAAGGGAGAAAAAGAAACCAATAGGTTGATGTAGACCGAACATTGCAATGGTAATGGGAAACGCTGAAAGATATCTGATGTATCATGGAAAAATAATGTAAAGGGAAAACCCAAAATTGGCCAAATTGGGACTGAGCATGCTCAAAAACCCTTAAGTGCAGCTCAAACAGCAAACATATCTAATATCTGAACCAAAGACAGACTTACTTAGTACATTCAGTAGTTTCAGGAGGCTGTATCACTTGCGGAGGATTGGGTATTTCTACAGAAAACAACAGATAGGAAAGAGATTCAGTGTTTGTTGTTAATAGCTGCTTTAACAGTCAACTTATGTATACTTCGGTTCTTGTGGGTTTTTTCGGGTTATAGGGCCATGTTCTAGAGGCATTTTTTCCTGACGTTTCGCCTGCATCTATGGCAAGCATCCTCAGAGGTAGTGAGGTCTGTTGGAATTAGGACAATGGGTTTATATATCTGTGGAATGGCTGGGGTGGGGCACAGAGCTCTTCTCTGCTGGAGCTGGGTGTGAATGTTTCAACTGACCACCTTCATTAGCATTTGAAGGCCTGGCTGAGCCTGGGAAAAAGTTTTGTTGAGAGGTGTTAAGATGTGCCTGGTTGTTTCCTCTCTGCTGTTTTGCTGTTGTAAATTTAGAGTTTTTTAATATTGGTAGCCAGATTTTGTTCATTTTCATGGTCTCTTCCTTTCTGTTGAAATTGTCCACATGCTTGTGGATTTCAATGGCTTCTCTTGTAGCCTGACATGGTGGTTGTTGGTGTGGTCCAGCATTTCTGTGTTCTCAAATAATCTGCTGTGTCCAGGCTGGTTCCTCAGGTGCTCTGCTATGGCTGACTTCTCTGGTTGAGTTAGTCTGCAGTGCCTTTCATGTTCCTTGATTCGTGTTTGGGCAATGCTGCGTTTGGTGGTCCCTATGTAGACTTGTCCACAGCTGCATGGTATACAGTAGACTCCTGCAGAGGTGAGAGGATCCCTCTTGTCCTTTGCTGAACGTAGCATTTGTTGGATTTTCTTGGTGGGTTTGTAGATTGTTTGTATGTTGTGTTTCCTCATCAGCTTCCCTATGCGGGC